TTTCGGGGCTAGCTACAGAATTCATAGAGATTACTTTCACTCACATTCCCCGAGAAGAAAATCAGATAGTAGATGCCTTAGCAACTTTGTCAGCCATGTTCAAAGTAACTTGGCCTAATCATGAACCACACATCACTATCAAACATTTTGAAGAGCCTCAACACTGCCTCGCAGTTGAAGAAGGTCCAGATAATAAACCTTGGTTCTACGACATCACGAGATATTTAGAAAAGAAAATATATAGAAGGTGCCTCAATAACAGACAAGCAAACACTAAGAAGGCTAGCAACAAAGTTCTTCTTAAATGGGGATGTATTGTACAAAAGAAACTACGACGTGGTTCTACTAAGCTGCATGGAGAAACGGGAAGCAGACACACTCATGAAGGGGGTCCATGGAGGAACCTTTAGGACTCATGCAAATGGCCACGTCATGGCTAGAAAAATCTTAAGAGCGGGTTACTATTGGTTGACGATTGAAAATGACTATTACCATTATACGAAGATATGCCATAAGTGCCAAATCTATGCTGACAAGGTACATGTTCCACCTACTCTGCTGAAAGTCCTAAGTTCACCATGGTCATTCTCAATGTGGGGAATTGATATGATAGGGATGATCAAACCAAAGGCTTATAATGGACACCGATTCATATTGGTCGCCATTGATTACTTCATAAAGTGGGTAGAAGTCGCTTCTTATGCAAATGTGACAAAACAAGTGGTTACTCAATTTATCAATAAAAATATCATATGCCAGTATGGAGTTCCTAGCAGAATCATCACAGACAATGGGTCCAATTTGAACAACAGATTGATGAAGGAACTGTGTGACGACTTCAAGATTAAGCATCATAATTCATCACCTTACCGACCCAAGATGAACGGGGCCGTTGAAGCTACCAATAAAAACATCAAGAAGCTCATTCAGAAAATGGCAAAGACATATAAATATTGGCATGAAAGGCTTCCCTTCACGCTACATGGTTATCGTACCTCATTACGTACTTCGACTGGTGCAACTCCTTTTTCTCTTATTTATGGCATGAAGGTTATACTCCCTATTGAAGTGGGGATTCCATCACTCCGAGTTCTCATGGGAACTAAGCTTGAAGAGTCAGAATGGGTCCAGACGCGACTTGACCAACTCAACCTCATTGAAGAAAAATGCTTAACGGCTTTGTGCCATGGTCAATCATATCAAAAGCGGATGAAGAAAGCATTCGATAAAAAGGTTCATTCTCGAGTATTCCAAGAAAGAGATCCAATTCTCAAGAAGATTCTACTACTTCGATTAGATTCACGTGGGAAATGGACACCTAACTACCAAGGTCCATATGTGGTCAAAATAGCTTTCTCAAGAGAAGATCTTATCCTCACAACAATGGATGGGGAAGAACTACCGCATCCTCTGAATTCTGATACAGTAAAAAAATACTATGTATAAGAAAAGTCCGCTAAGTCGAAAACTTGAAAGGGCGACTTAGGCAAAAAGGGGCATCCCAGTGGATTGAAAACCCTAAAGGGTGATTCAGACAAAAAAATTAGGGACATGTAAGAAAAATCATCATCCCAGTGGATTGAAAACCCAAAAGGGCAATACAGGCAAAAAGGTTAGGGATTTTATTCAAGAAAAATGAACATATAGACTACCGTTTGAGGATTTATTACATCTATGACTATGAAGGGGAAGAATTAATCCAATCATCTTTCTCAGAAGCAAGAGGATTGGGGCTATCAAAAGACATTGGAGAAATAACAATATTGAATGACATTTTTATTGCCATTTTCTGTTTATCTTTTGTAATTACCTCTTTTAGGAATTGCATATTGTACTCTGGCCTATTCAAAGGAATTTTTTCATCAATAAAATAATCTATTTTTCAAATCTTTTCAATTATGTTTTTCTTTTTTCTGACTTGTTTGCAAAATATGACGATTTATTTCTTGTAAATATTGGATTGAAATTAATTTGGGGATTTGACAAAATAACAAAGCATTGAAAAAACATCAAAATGAACTTTGGTTAGAAAAATGTCAAAAGAAATATGTGACTACGTCCATGATACAACCATCAAAATCACACTGACATTGTTCGCAACAATATATCAAAATGCAAATCAACTTGGAGACACCACAACAAAACAACATACAACGTTAGGAAGTCAACGACTCTAAGAACCCAATGATCTAAAATGAGCGAATTATAAAAACATTCATAATACTCGGTGCATTTACATATGAAATACATATCTAGGGATGGCAAAAAAATCTGTATCCGCGGATAAAATTCATTACGGATATGAGATAGATAACTTAATGGATATCTGTAAATAAAATAAATGGATATTTAGATACCTGTTATTTAATGGATATGGATACAGATTTAAAAATATCCATACCCGCGGATATCCGTTAGGGGTGTTCGTGGTCCGGTTTGGATCGGTTTTGAGACAAAATATCATCCGATCCAAAAATATATAAAGCATACGGTTTGGTTCGGTTTTTGGATGAAAACAAGAAAAATCCAATCCAATTTATCACTATGCCAAAATTGAATTTAGACAGCGCCACATAGACAGCGCTTATGCCATAAGCGCTGCTATAGGTTTTAAAAATTAAAAAATTAAAAAATTAAAGTAAGCGCTGTTAAAGGTATACCTTAGACAGCGCTTACTAAAAGCGCTGCTAAAGGCCTTACCATAGACAGCGCTTCCTTTCCCTAAGCGCTGCTATAGGTTTTCAATAAAATAAAATAAAATAAATAAGAATAAGCGCTGCTAAAGGGTATACCTTAGACAGCGCTTACTAAAAGCGCTGCTAAAGGCTTTATCATAGCCAGCGCTTCCTTTCCCTAAGCGTTGCTATAGGTTTTCAATAAAAAAAATAAGAATAAGCGCTGCTAAAGGGTATACCTTAGACAGCGCTTACCAAAAGCGCTGCTAAAGGTGTGATAAAAGGTATACCTTAGACAGCGCTTTCAAGAAGCGCTGCTAAAGGCATTACACTAAAGCACTGCTAAAGCCTTAAAGCGCTGCTAAAGGTAATACCTTTAGCAGCGCTTCTTGAAAGCGCTGTCTAAGGTAATTAAAAAATTTCTAAATCCCTAAATTGGTTATCAGAAACCCCACTTTATACAAAACCCCACTTTAAGCGCTTCTTGAAAGCAACTGTTTATCTTCGTCTAACTCGTCTCCTCCCTCCTCACCGTGCACGTGGTTCATCTTCTTCTCCAACTCGCTTCGTTCGAATTTGTTACCACCATCTCCACTATAAGGTAAAATTTCTTCATCCTTCTAAATTTTGGATTGATAGTTGTAGTTACAGTGATTTGTTTACCAAGAATTTATTTTTAGGTTTTGTATCCCTCTGCCTTCCAGCCCAAACTATAGCCAATACTGGATAAAAGTAAATATGAATCAATAAAATAACTAGTGTTGAATCGATTAAGTAGAAGAAATAATAACCTCTAAGCATATACTTGAAAGCAGCGTTTAAATCCTTAGACTTAGCAAGAACACCTTTAGAAACATTTGTATAAACTGTATGAGACTGCAACACTTCATCAATATCCTTTTCACTGTTAAATAAGCGATTAATTCATCAATTAATTACAGAATAATCGATTAATTAGGTTAACAAAAAGGAGATTGAACGAATACGTACACGCCGGAACGCCATGAAAGGACGGTGTTAGGGTAACAAGCGATTTCGAATCGTGTGCCGTGTTTTTTGAGACGAACAACTGCTACGTTTGTTAATCGCTTTTGACCTACTGGTTGAACCAATGATCTCGACATTGACAAGTTTTGAGTGAACTTCTCTTTTTCGATTATCGAGTTGTGAAGATGAATTACAGATTCTTTAACCTTCGAGATAAGTTTAAGCACGCCGCACTCTTGTTAATAAAACGAAACCGTTTTATGTTAAGTTTGGAAGAAGTGCGGAGAAGGAAAGAAAAAGGAAAGAAAGGTTATGGAATATACTATTTTCCTTCCTTTGGTTTCATTCTAAGAAGCAAGGAAAGAAAGGTTATGGAACATCTATAATTGTTGCAATGGATAGAAATTCAAGTTTATCATCAGGGACATTTGTCTCCTCTGGTGTACTTCTTTCACAGGAAAAGTCACTTGGTAAGGATACAGACTGTAATTTTGAAAGTGTGCACGAAAGCAAACAGAAGGTCACTGCTATTGAAAGCATGCTTAGAGGCTTGAATATATCTAATAAGCATAATTTACCGTCTCTCCAGCCATCAAGTTTGGATCTAGAAGTTGACCCTCCATGTCTCGTGATCCGCCTTTCCCAATTGTTGCTCTGCATCCAATCATTTGACAAGCTCTTCCACAATAGAACCCACTGCTTATGGTGTCTATAAAGGTAGTAACTAAAATGGTGGTTTGGGTTTGTCAGACATAATCACTCCAATTCAAGCTTCCAAAGATTCTGCCAAGTTATCATATCATAGTAATGTTGAAACTTAGTCATTACCATCATTATCCTCATATTCAACTAGAAGGCCTTATAAAAGATTGCATGAAAGAAATTATGTTGATGACATCAGCGACACTAGGGAGGCTAAGCGATTTATGAACCACAACAGTGATAAGCAGTATTTGGATGCCACTTAGAGATGGAAACTTTAGAGAATCACATAATAGTTATGTGCCTAATTTTTAGAGGCCACTAGTGAGAAAGAATGTAGTCGGACGAATGTCGACTGGCAGGAGTAGGAGTTTTGATGATAACCAGATATCTCCTGGATATCATTCTCACTGCACTCAATGGCTTCAACGGGACTGCTTTTGCTTATGGGAAGACAAGTAGTGGCAAGACTTTCACTATGAATGGTTGTGAAACTGATCCGGGAGTGATTCCTCAGGCAGTGAAGGACGTATTTACAATAATCGAGACGATGTCTAAAGGGGAGGAGAATATGCAGAATGAAAGAGGTTTATCTCACTGGATTAGATAAGCAAACAGTAATATTGAATGTCAAGATTACAGTACCGTGTATTTCTCATAAGCTGTAACAACAAGTTGATCAAGAGCACGTTGGTCAAAATCCCTGTCAAACAAGTTGATATTTAGAACAATAAAGACACAGAAAGTTAAAATTAGCACATAATGGGTACAAATGGCAGCGGCATTACTTTTCTACAAGTTCTTTTGCGGCGGATGCAGATTTCAACAATCCATCTAGCAAGTTTCTCTTATTGGAAACCTATGATACACAAGAAAATAAAAAAAACCATAAACTAAACCAAATCAGATAAAGGATCAACTTCATTAAATATTGCAGGAATTCATCAAATATCTCCAGCTCTGCAACCGATCTAGGCGATTATATTATGAAATAATATAAAACAAAATAATAGTTACATAGAGGGAAACATTTGACAGCAAGAATAGTATAACTTGACTTCAGCATTAGTCCGTACCTGTCCTTGGTACAACTCTTCTAACCTAGTAATATCCTCCAATATGGCTTCATCATCTTCTTGCACCATTTCAGGCATTAAAAAAAAGCAGTAATAATCATACTAACATGCTAAATACTAAACAAAAATCATAACATTTGTAAGTATTCTATAAGTTACATTGAAGAGATTTCTGACAAATGCAGAACAACCTAAAATAAAATAGTTTAAATTCACTGGATTAGGAAAGTAAAAGCTTACCACTGGTTCTAGGTCAAGTCCAATACTTTGAAGCTCCAATAGAAGCTTATCATTTATGTCCAAGCTATTGTATTGCAACTCTGAACAGGCCAAGCCAGACATTAAGGTTTTATCATGAAGAAAACCATTTACCGAGTTGCCAAAGCTTGGATTTAACCCAAAATAGAAATTCAGAATGAAAGAGGTTTATCTCCCCTTATGCATATACAACAAACATACAATTTAGGAAGTTACCCTGTTAATCATAAACACCACAATATATTAGTTGGTTAGTACTTTTTACATGTTTAACATCAACTCTATTTTCATCCCACTCCAGCCATATCCTTCCATTATCATGTTTGTTGTAATTATCTATATAGAGACCTCTGAGCTTGAGTTTGTCTCTAATAGTTTGGGCATTTATATTCTTCACTCTAGTTTCAATCAAAATAGTGATTTTAGGGTTGAGAATTTGGATCCGGGAGCTAATCTCTCTAATCTTGAAATACTCATCAGCATTTTTAAAGTTTGGGCATTTATCATGGTGAGTAAGTTTGGTGTTATTTTTCAAGTTGTGCATTCCCTTATTTGTTGGTAATTACTTGTATTCACCAATTTTGATTTCCAATTACATGTGTTTTACGAAGGTAAGTGATGTTGTTGCTTTCACTATCAATCTACTTAAGAAAATTGATCTTTAGGAAAATTGTTATTGTGACCGAAACTTCTACTGCTAGGGGTCAAAGTTAACATATCATATATCTGTCTTGACATTATAATTATCTATTGCATTTCACAGGATTAGCTCTTGAAGCACTTGTTGGAGTGATTTCACTTGTATCTTCTGAAATTGATCAGTGTAAGGTAAAGTTCTGAAACTTTGTAGTGGTTACTTCGCTATTATAAAGCTCATATAGTTGAATAATAATTCCATACACTGTCAAGAAATTTGTGTACATAATTGTATCATATGTTGTATGTTATGGACTATATTGTTAAATGTGAATCTAAAGTTAAACTTACTGGTGTTGTTGCTGCATGTAGCTGAGTATATGTTTTAGCCTTTGCTAGACATACTTATCTAACTTTTAAATACATATTGCCAACATACCTTTATATCAACACTTATATCAATATTTTATATTCACCAATTTTCTTTTCTCTTTGGGTAACAGGATTCTTGTAGTTACAGGGTATAATTCCTACTTAGTAGGTGTGTGTGAGAGATTTCTTGTAGTTATAGGGTATAATTCCTACTTAGTAGGTGTGTGTGAGAGATCTGTTACTGAATATGATTCTGGTAGGTAGTATCATACTCTAATCGACATTTTGAAATTATGAGCTCTGATCATATTGATAAGCATCCACTGTGAAAATGAAGTTGCTTTTGAAATCTCTCTACAGGGAGAATTTTGCACCTTCACTATAAGTACCTTCTCTTTATCCCCTAAGGAAGTAAATCTCATAATGAAATACCCTTCTTTATTATAGTAGATGTTTGACAGTTGAATGAAGTTCCAGGCTCTTGTCATATACTGCTTTATCCCGTGCATACTCACATCTTTTCTCAGGGCATACATACATAGAGATCCCATATTTCAGCCATTAGATTATTAAACAAAAAAAATGTAATAATAACTAATTATAGAGTAATACATCTAGAAAATGAGGTTTGAACATACCAACACCAAGTACTGTGATTTCAAACATAGATGAGGAGATAATAAGACACACAAGTAGAAGAGCTGCAAATGCTGGCTTCATCTTACTATCAGAGAGAAATATAGAGAACAGATTTAATTAATAGAACTATATCACTATGTTATGTGAAAATTAACTAGAGTGACACTCACTAGAAGAAAGATAAGAGAAATTCAGAGTCTTATGTGGTTGAGATGTTTGAGTGTGAACAAGTGAGTGGGATTATTTATAGTACAAAATGGGTAGATGAAAATGTAGGAAGGTAGATATAGGTGTCGATTTAACGGATTTGAGCTCAAATATATAGTGGAGTAAACTTCCGATACGGTAGGGTGGAGTGGATCTGCAAAATTATTATGTTCAAGTAAGTAATAGTAAAAAATAACAGAAATCATGAATCTTCGAATGAGTTCACAACTAAGCTAATGTCTCTAAAATTGTAACATTGAGGATCATTGATTGAATATGTTATAGGACCACAACAATCCTCATTTCTAGAATTGTTCTAATCACATATTTGATTTTTGTTGACAACACAGACTCTTTAAATTCATTGTACTCCCACCACATTATACCTTTTTATGCCCTAATTAGTGTTTTTGTTTAACTTAGATAATAGTTAAAACCATGGATAAAAAATGAATGTGTGCCGATCGATTGTCAAAAGAGTACGAGGATGGGGTATTAGAGTTCGCTAAGTTTGCTGTTGAACACGCTGAAGACCCGAATAGAATGAAATGTCCTTGCTTGGGTTGTTGTTATGTGGGTCGGGTTGACGCAGATGGATTGAAATCGCATTTACTAATGCACGGAATTGATCAAAGTTATACGTGTTGGATATTTCATGGTGAGAAAAGCATCGAGAATGTTGAACCGGGGGTGAAAAGTAATGCGACCTATGTTTCGTACGACAATGCCACGGATACATATGATTGTGATCGGGTGGAAGAGATTGCAGAAGCACTTGAAGAAGATCTTCAAGATTGTCCCAAAATGTTTGAGAGGTTGGTAAGCAATGCGGAGAAACCGTTGTATAAATATTGCCCCAAATTCACAAGATTATTTGCGGTATTAAAATTGTACAACTTAAAGGCGCGCAATGGATGGTCGGATAAAAGTTTCACACAGTTATTAGCCCTTTTGAGAGATATGCTTCTTGAGGATAATGTTCTTCCTAATCGAACCTACGAGGCCAAAAAAATGTTGTGCTCTATTGGCATGAGCTATGATAAGATACATGCATGTCTAAATGATTTTATTTTGTTTCGAAACGAATATGCATCGTTGAATGAGTGCCCAAAGTGCGGTTTATCTCGATATAAGAAAAAATTATCTCCAGCGAAAGTCTTATGGTATTTTCCTATTATTCCGAGATTTAGACGCATGTTTCGTAGTGAAACCGATGCTAGACACTTGACTTGGCATGCAGATGAAAGAATTATCGATGGAAAGTTTTGACATCCGGCAGATGCACCACAGTGGAAGAAAATTGATAATGATTATCCTGATTTTGGAGGATAAACAAGAAACCTTTGCTTGGCATTATCTACGGATGGAATGAACCCGCATGGTCTTCAAAGTATCTCACATTCCACATGGCCTGTGATTCTTATGATTTATAACCTACCTCCATGGCTATGTATGAAGCGCAAGTACATGATTTTATCTATGTTAATTTCTGGGCCTAAACAACCAGGGAATGACATAGATGTATACTTGAAACCTTTAATCGAAGATTTGAAGATTTTGTGGGAGAACGGTGTGGAGGTTTATGATGGATATAGGAAAGAAAGTTTCAATTTGAGGGCGATGTTGTTTGGCACAATTAACGATTTTCCAGCATATGGAAATCTATCCGGGTATAGCATTAAAGGTGAAAAAGCGTGTCCTGTCTGTGAAGATGGAACCGATACGACACGATTGAAACTTTGTCAAAAGAATGTCTTTCTCGGTCATCGTAGATTCTTAAATTCAAAACATCAATATCGTGGATGGAGAAAAGCGTTCAATGGAAATACCGAACAACGTAGAGCTCCACCTGGATTGACAGGTGATCAAATTTGTGAAAAGGTGAAAGATGTGAGTATTCAGTTTGGCAAGCCTTTTGCACATAAAGTTGTCACAGGTGGGTGGAAGAAGAGGTCAATTTTTTTTGAATTGCCATATTGGAAATCTTTGTACGTAAGACATTTTCTTGATGTTATGCATATTGAAAAAAATGTATTTGAAAGTGTTATTGGTACGTTACTCAATATAAAAGGAAAGTCTAAGGATGGCCTTAAAGCAAGAGAGGACATGGTAGAGATGGGAATAAGAACTGAATTAGGACCCGTGAAGAAAGGAAGACGAACATATCTACCACCTGCTTCTTATACTCTATCTAGAAAGGAAAAGAAAATATTATGTAAGTTTCTGAGTGAAGTTAAAGTTCCAGAAGGTTACTCCTCAGACATTAGAAGACTCGTGTCCATGAAAGACCTCAAGTTAAAGAGTCTGAAGACACATGATTGCCATGTCATAATGGAACATTTTCTACCAATAGGTATACGTTCTATTTTTCCAGAAAAAGTAAGAAGCGCTATAACTAAATTGTGTTTTTTTTTCAGGTCAATTTGTAGTAAGGTGATCGATCCTGAGATCTTACCAGTATTACAAAAAGAAATCGTTATTACTCTGTGTGACCTTGAAATGTATTTTCCTCCATCATTTTTTGACATTATGGTATATCTTGTTGTTCATCTTGTGAAAGAGACACAATTGTGTAGACCAGCTTATATGAGATGGATGTACCCTGTTGAACGTTATATGAAAATATTAAAAGGGTACGTGAAAAACCGAAGTCGTCCAGAGGGTTGTATCATTGAGCGATACGTTGTTGAAGAAGCGGTTGAGTTTTGTACTGATTTTTTGTCCAATGTGCAATCCATTGGACTCCCCAAATCTCATTTTTTCGGGAAAAAAAAGGTAACAAATTAATTGGAAATGAAATTGTGACAGTATCAAGGGATGAACGGGATCAAGTGCATTTGTATGTTCTGCACAATGACACTGAGGTTGAGCCGTTTGTTGAAATGCACAAGGCTATACTCCGAGGTGAGAATCAAAGTAGAAATGAAAATTGGATAGTACGAGAGCACAATCAAAGTTTTATACAGTGGTTTAAGGATCATATATATTCAAAGTTTCATTCAGATCCCGCTTCAATATGAGATAGGTTGAGATGTTTGGCATATGGTCCAAGTTCGATTGTGTTCTCTTATAGAGGATACAGAATTAATGGATACACATTTTATACCAAAGAACAAGATGAGAAAAGTACCATGCAAAATAGTGGTGTCACGGTGGTATGTGAAGCAATGCACATTTCTGGTATGAAGGACTTAAACCCCAAATATGAAAATTTGTCATATTTCGGGGTTATCAATCATATCTGGGTGTTTGATTATGAGAAGTTTCAGATTCCTATCTTTGGTTGCAAGTGGGTACATACTAGTGGCATACGAATGGATAAGTCAGGGTTTTTGCAAGTGGATCTTAGTAGGGTGGGGTACAAAGATGAGCCTTTTATTCTAGCCTCTCAAGCTAAACAAGTGTTCTATGTCACAGACCCGAAGAGTACGAAATGGTCTATAGTGCTTTTATCTAACAAAGTGATTGATAATAAAAGTGTGGATCAAGTTGATGTTGAAGTTGAGAATGAGTCGTATATTAGAAATGATCGAGATGATGATACTACAGCGGATGAATCATATATCAGAAAAGATCATGATGAGGGAATTTGGATCAATCCCTCCGTCCGCGTTCTTAAGAGACAAGTAATTCGGAATCCAACCAAGAAAAGAAAGAGATGTTAGTGAAAGAGGTAATATATATTCCTCCATACCTGTTAACACTTAGCAAACTTCTAATAAATTATATATTTGTCATTTTATATACTCAATTGATATTTGTCATTTTATATACTCAATTGATATTTGTCATTTTATATACTCAATTGACATTTGTCATTTTATATACTGAATAGATATTTGGAATTATATATTTGGAATTAAATATTTGTCATTAGATACTAATGTTTTTCTTTATTACAGGTTAGATGGCTAGTAACGAGGAGCACCCTCACGATGATTCTATTAATGATGCAGACAATGATGGAGGAAAATCCAGTAAGGGAGTGGAAAAAGAAATAAAAAGAGGAAAAACTATTATGAAGAATATCATTCGTGATAGAGATAGGGGTATAAAATATGATGTGCATTGAAGTCCAAATGACCAATTAATTGAGCTTAACGGTTCTAAATTGACAAGTTACATTGGCACACTTGTAAGGAGAGAAATTCCAATAACTTGTGATGAGTGGAGAGATGATAAGTTGAATGATGCTAAAAACAAAATCTGGAGTGAGATACAGGTACTTTAAATTATGTCTTTAAATTACGATTATGTACTTTAAATTATGCCTTTAAATTACTTATACTAACGCACTTTGTGTATGTTTTTTGTAGAGGTCTTTCAACATTGATGACAAAAGAAAAGATTATTGTCTTGGATTGGCCGGCAAAATACTGAGAGGGTTTAGAACATATTTAAACAGAAAATATCTTAGAGATGCCGAAAAAAAATTTGTTGATGCAGAGCGTCCAGCGGAATATGCGGATGTGATTTCAGTTAAAGAATGGGATGTTTTTAAAGCCAAACGGAAAACCCCAAAATTTCAGAGTGTTAGTGAAGTAAATCGTCTAAGAGCATCATCTCCCGCATATCCATACAAAAAAGGGCGTTTGGGATATGCACGATTAGAACAAAAAATAGTAAGTATTTACAAATTACAATGATATACTTGTTCATCAATAGTTATAACTGAGCTTGTTTTTTGTGTTAATGTGTAGTTAAAAGAGGAGAGTAGTTCAGAAACATCTCTTCCGGAGCATGTTTTGTGGAAGGCTTCCCGTGTGGGTAAGGATGGAGTTCTCAAAGAAGATGTACAACAAATTTTTGAAAAATGCGTAAGTATAACATTAATTCTAATTAAATCAAAATTTTATTAACATATAGTATTCATG